CCTCCAAATTCAAATTCATATTTAAGACTTTCCTTTTATTCAACGTCTTAATTTAGGAAAGTTTTCAAATTTCAAATTCAAATCAATTTAAATTTTAATCCTTTCCTAAAATAGGTTCAATTTCATTTGGAAACTTACCTAATATTCTAAAATCGGAAATTAATCTAGATTTAAATCAATCACCAATTCAACGAACTTGGACACCCTCTCTCCTCTCTCCTCTCCCTCTCTAGGCCGACCCCTCCTCTCTCTCTCCAATCCATTTAATTCCCATTAATTCCCCCCTCTTGGAGCCTTAATTCATCCTTATTTAAGGAATAATTTTCTTTTCCATTTAATTTGAAATCCCAAATTTTAAATGATCCCCTCCCCCATATCGTTGCTACATCAGTTTGGTATCAAAGCATGGTTGCTCACTCTTGACGCGAACTCGATGGAGTTGAGCCCTTTTCCATCCCAGGAGAATGACATAGACATCCAACCGTCCATGCCTATCCGAGGAGCTGAAGATCGACAACTATGATCGTCCTACAGTACCTTAAATTTTATTTGTAATTTTTATTTTTATTATGCATTTTCCATTTTTATCTTTAAGGGTCTAATCTTATGTAACCCTAGGGGTATGATCGTCTTATTTTAGTTTCTTTTATTTCTGAGACTTATATATAGAGGCCCTTGTTAGTATAATGGTATGATGGAGTTTTAATAAAAAAATTTGTTATGTAATTTTGTTTTTAGAGAGAACGTTAGTGAGAATCCTTATGGAGGGAATCGTGGTTTCCACCAGCCGCAGGATGAGTCCGAACTCATGGCTTGAAGTCCCTTGGTGAATGGCATCGTATCACCTGTCAGTCTTCAGAAGAGTCCAAGACTCGTGGTTATATCTTCTTTTTTTCTTTGCTTTGTTTTCTCTTTCCTAATCTCCATCTCCATCCTCCCTCCAATCCTGCCGGCTTCATCCCATCCACCACCCAAACTCGCCGGCCTCTTCCCACAATCCCCTCTTCGTCCCCACCGAAATTCTCCATCCCCATCCTAAGCCTAACCGGATAGCTTTCCCCCACTCCAAACCACCAACGCTCTCACAAACCATAACCCTAATACCTTCATAGCTGCCGACCACCTTTCCTCCATTGGCTCCCACAATTTCATCTTGCATTCAAAACCTTCCTATTATATACATCTTAATTTGGCAATGAATTCGAATTCAAAATACAAATTAATTTGAATTTGTTTCCTAACTTAGGACTCTTATTTTAGGAAAGTTGTTTAAATTAGGTTCAATTAAATTTCTGAATGGATTTGATTTAATTTCTTCTCATCAATTAAAGAGCTTTGATTAGGCAAGCCATACAGTCCCTTACCTAATCCCTCTTAAAGCCACTGGCCACCTAACCCTAATTGATGGGGACATCGACAGGAGATTCCGGCGCGTTTATCAGAGATGACACCGGAGATCGACGACCATGATGGAGAGCCTTTACTACTAATGATTGTGTATTTGCATTTTAGTTATTTTCAGTTTTTCCATTTTTACCCATATGGGTATTTGTTTGCTTTTGTAGCCCAAGGGGCATATTAGACTTTTATACTTGTTGTCATGTGGATCCTATATATATGGCTCTTGTATCTTGTATGAGGGACTTTTGATTATTGAATGAAATTTTATACTATTGATCTCTTTGTGAGTTCTCCATTTCCCTAGTTCTCTTCGTGAGTTCTTGAGGGGAATTTCGTGGATCTCTGTGTGAGTTCCGGCATCTTTACAATCTCCCTTTGAGATCTTGAAGAAGAGGTGTGTGAGGTGAGAAAATCCCGAGTTTTCTCCACATTTTTCATCCTGCTTCCAAGCTCTGGATCCTTCCTTCTTTCCACACTTCATTCACGGAACTTTGCTCTGGCCGAACCCTGTTGGGTGATGCCGGCCAGAAAAATACGTTAGGCTCCATGATTCAGCCTTCTAAACCACGTGGACCAATTTTGCCTATTCTCGCTCTCCTTGCTAACTAACCCCTCTCTGAGGCGGAAAAAAAAAATCCGTCTCTTCACTCCACAACAACCATTTACTTAATTGATGCCGGCTCTTCCTTTCTCCTCTTTTTTGTCTAGCAGTTGCCCACCCGATATGGCGACCCATAGGCCCGTGATCTCTCGTTGAATTAACTATAGACACGCGGGGGCTCAGAGCATTCCCATCTTGCCACCGGCTCTTCGTGCACCACCCCCGCGCCTCAAACCTTGAGGAACCCATTAATGAGCTTCGCTGTGAATTTCAAAAGCCCCTAATTAAGTCAATTTCCTAATTAGTCTTCATCTATTTAGGAGACGCATTTAAGGGGATTAATGCTCCTTTTGAAATTCAAATTCTATTCCCTCTTAATAAATCAATTTTGGGAGTTACTTAAGATATAATCAAATCTGAAATTATAATTTCAGATTTGATTGGGAATTAGTTATTCAAACGTGGGCCCCACCTTTTAAATTCCAAAGCCTCTCTCTCCTTGCTCTATGGCCGGCCACCCTTGCCCATTAATTATCTCTCCAATTACATTAATTGCCTCCCATTAACTCCCCTAATCCCTCACTAACCGCCGCCCCCCCCCCCCCTCATTCCCCCCCCCCCCCCCTCCTTTGGAAATTAATTTGATTTTCAAATTAGTTCCCCCCCACTTCTCCCCACTAGAATTCAATTTCAGAAATCTGAAATTGTTTTTTTTCTGAAGCTTTTCTCTCTTACCCGAGCTCCTCTTTGGAATTGACTTGATTTCTCCAACCAAGCCCCTCCAACTTCAGAAACCTGACATTATTTTAGATTTGGTAATCCTTGCTTTTCCTCTTGGCCTCTCCACCCTACCCGATCACCTCCCCTCTTGGAATTTCTTGTGGTGACCACTCATCTTCAAATCCATGTTGTATGGCGGATCCCGCCGTTGACCACAGACTCTTCTACGACATCTACGGAAACATCCACGTCCTTAGATCTCCTTTCTTCGACGTTGGATTTGGCTTCAACAACACCGTCAAGTAGTACTTGGATCGGATCCTTCCAACACTAGTGGACGCCGTCGACGACCAATTTTCAGACTACACGTGGATCATCAAAGGCCACCCTCCCGTGCCACCTCCACCTCCTAGTTTCTTCTCAACAACGACGTTCCTTGGTTCCTCCCTCCTCATGGCAACCTCATTTCTAGCGTGGACGCTCTTCCGCCGCTCAACCTAGTTTCGTAGGATAGAGAGAGAAAGGCCCCAAGGTGAACAACTCGTTATTAATTGTTGGATTCAAGTTATAAGCTTTTAACGTTACTTTTCCTTTGTATTTGATTAAATCGTTTGGTTAATCTCTTTGTAATTCTTTGCCTAAGCAAGTGGAACACAACGAATTCTAATAACCAACTTTGAATTGATGCATGATTCGATAAATGGTTAAGTTATTAGTAAATTTTCTTTCCTAATCTTGTGTAACTCAACCACGCATCACATCACTAACCCTAATTCCTAGCCTAACCGCCGGCCTCTTTTCCCCAATCCCCCTTTGCCTCCAAATTCGAATTCCTATTCAAGACTTTCCTTTTATTCAACGTCTTAATTTAGGAATGTTTTCAAATTTCAAATTCAAATCAATTTAAATTTGAAATCCTTTCCTAAAATAAGTTCAATTTCATTTGGAAACTTCCCTAATATTTTCAAATCTAAAATTAATTCAGATTTAAATCAATCACCACATTCAATGAACTTGGAAACCCTCTCTCCTCTCACTCTCTAGGCCAACCCCTCCTCTCTCTCTCCAATCCATTTAATTCCCATTAATCCCCCCCACTTGGAGCCTTAATTCATCCTTAATTAAAGGAATAATTTTCTTTTCCATTTAATTTGAAATCCCAAATTTCAAATGACCCCCTCCCCCCATATCCGTGCTACATCAATCCTAATGCATTTTCATGAAAATATCCTAATACAATTTTTCTTCCAAATAAAAGTTTATTGAGAAAATAATATATAATAAGTAGAATCTCTATACAATGTTTTATAATAAAATGCATTAGATAAATAACAACTCTTTCATGATCTTTATTCAGAAAATGAGAAAACAACAATATAAATTAGAAATTATGTATAAATTAATTAAGTAAATAAAGCATATACATACAAATAAAATGTGCAAGTTAAATGAGAAGATAACACCAAATAGCTTACGACATAAATTAATTAGTCATGATACAAGCCATTCTAATTAAAATAAGAAAGAAGATGTACAGGAAAAGTATAGAAAACAAAACGATCCATAAAAAGAGAATGAAATGCAAAAAATGTACCTACATTATATAACTAACAAAACATAAAGGAAATTAAAAAAAAAAAAAAAAAAGAGGATTGAAGACAATTGGAAAAAAAATTTATATAGCATAGTAACATTTAATCTAGATTATCCAGTATATGCAGTACAAGAAGGTAAAGAAATATAAAAGGGAGTGAGAGATAGGTCTTAGCCTTTTACCTATGATTAAAAAAAATGCTCACTTAGGGCACCTATTGCACCAGAAATGGCATACCATGGCACTCAACATTTTTAAATGAATCACTGGGAAGACTAATGCAAGGTGTGGCCTCACCCGAGTTCCGGAGATCAACAAGTGTAATTAATTATACCTCTTACGTTCTACAAACCTCTATCTCTTCATCTCCTCCAAATCTCATACCTTTAAATTACTTTTAAAAAATATTTAACTTTTTAATCTGTTTTCCCTGCCCCAAAACATGTGTCGGATTTCTAGAAAAGTCAACCTTATATCAATATCATGTCAGGTCCCACGCTAGTTTCATGCTCATGCATCATCACCACAAATTTTCAGACAATGAAAAGAGAAGATAATTTTTTATAGGCTCAAGAAAACAAAATTTCCACCAGCAAATAAATAAATAAAAACATTTCAAGAATCTCAGCATTCCTCTGTTTCATGATCATCACACGAAAAAATCAAGATAATATATTTGCTTACAATTTGTTGGGTCTCTGGTGGAGGGTTGTACGGGCATGTAAGGGCTTCGCCAGTGATAAATGGATGCCTTGAAGCCTGAAACATATGGTTCAAATATTCAAATAATAAAGAAACTCATGATAGTTGGGTGGTTCCACCAAGTAATCCATTTTAGAATCCTATTAAATAGCTACTACCGGTTGAGTATGACAACCTGCAAAGGTGACCATCTTTTTGCTGGATCAAATTCAACAAGGCCTCTCAAGAAATCAACCAGTTTCAAGCGTTCTAAGGTTTCTGCATGTTCATCAGAAAAGAAAAATAATAAATCAGCTAAAACAAATAAGCATACTTAGGGAAGTACTAGCATTAGCTGACCTTTAGTAACCTCTTCTTCAGCTAAATTCTTTCTATAGGGATATTTTTCAATTACGTCTTCAAGCTTCACATCTTCAAGATTCACATAATTGAAATAACGCTTCCCTATTACAGGTTTTTTGCATTCCTTCTGAGAAAAATGCAGCAATGGGATGGAAAATAATAAAAATAATAGTGGTAAATAAAAAGATAAAGAAGATTTGAATCAAAATAGTCTTGGGTGGTACCACCCATTTCTGCTTCAAAAATAAGAATGATGACATGACTTACAGCTTCATATTCTTCTGCAGTTAAAGCACAATAAGCACGTATAACGTCCTTATATACTTCATCCTCCAAGCGGTAAATACCTCCAACCTGTTTAAAAAAGTTATTTGTGTTTTGTGCATCTCTTAGCAGATCATCAGGGGGTTGTGCACTGCAAAGAATGTTGGAGCTAGCCATTACAATTGAAGATATGACTTAAGTCAAAGATTTAAGAATATAAGAGAATGAAAATTTTTCTATATTTAGTGAGTAAACTGTGCTTATTTGACTGTAATCGTGCATCATGGGAGGTCACCAAACCTATCCTTGGCTTGATCCTTTGTTTTGCTTATTGTTGGAGTCAATGGGTTTGTTGATGTGATTAAGCTAGAGACCATTGTGTAACACCCCCAAAGTCTTCAAGATAAGTATAGAATAATTGAATGTGAATAATTAGACTTATTAAGCTTGATCAATCAATTAATCAAATTTAGTTAGGTTCATTAATTATTCAAAAAACTATGAAGGTAATTAAGAAACCTCGTGCACCTAATAAGCAATGAAAGCTAATTTAGGTTAATGATCAAACTCATTAGAACAATAATTTTAAATAAAATAATTTCTTAAAATAAAGAAATAATGATAAATAATATAATTATTTTGAGTATAATTGTACTATTGGGTAGATTTGCATTAAGAGGAGAAATTTCATTTACAGCATAATATTCTTATAAAAAAATATACCTAAAATAATAAGTAGGCTGGCTAGCAAATTGTCTTAAAGAAGAAGTAAAAGAAAGCTTGCTTTTGAGTCAGTTAAAGAGAGTTGGCCATTAAAGGTCGGGATTAGAGTTGGTTATAAGATAGGTTGTATCAATTCCAACTTAGAAGAAACTGAGTAGGCGTAGGAGCGAGAAGAGGGAGGTGAAAGTAGTGTTAGATTGAGTGGGCAAAGGAGGCGAGAACAGAGCAAGGGAAGGGGGGAGGCGAAGCGATAGGCGGGAACTCATGCTATTGAGCGTAAAAGCTGAGAAGCGTAGCCACACATGAATTGTTGAATGTGAGTGGGGCTTTGAATGATGCTGAGCATGAGGAGAGATTATTAGGTGCGGACACCAGACATAGAGATGCATCCGAATACTGCATATCTTATGCTTAAGCTCTAACTACACTCTGCGTATTTATTACGTATATAATGCGTATTTGTAGATATGCAGTAAATAATCACCAAATATTTAGTTGTGAATATTTGCTGCTTATTTGCTATGTATCTACAGAGTGTAAGCAGAACATACGCAGAGTATAAGCAGAGTGTAAGCAGAGCGTACGCAGTGCATCCAGTAATCCAGACGCATCTCTAAGTCCAGTGTTCGCACCTAATAATTTCCCGAGCATGAGAGCCTTAAAGCACTACAACTTATGCCGACATCAAGGTAAACTTAAGCCCTAATCTAGTATCTTCTTCCCCTTTTAGGTCGAGAATATAGTTTGAAACCCCAAATCAAGTTCTTATGCATAAGGATGATAATGAAAAAATTAATTAAGGGATCTTTAGAGGTTTGATGATTGGCTACAAAGAAGAGGGAAATATGGAATTGTAATATTATTTGATTTTAAGTAAATTAGAAAATTTGAAATTTTATTGCATAAATTTAGGATAGATAATGTAAAGAACATGCACCATGAACCTACAATAGGAGAATAATTTTTAGCAAATAGAAAAATGAAGGAAAGGTATCAGTTAGGAAAAGTGAGAATCCTTCATATTCTATCCCTGGCTGCAATCAATTTAATGCAACTTTTGCATTTTGCTCAACATAAACTTGTAGGAGCGCTACTCCACTGTCTCCACATTACATTGGCTTTCAAGTTTCTTTGTGGGCAAATGCAAATGTATCAGTTAGGATTCTTTAGCTTCAGGATACCTTTCTTCTGAATTTGCATGAATGCATAACGTAATCCATATTTGACCACGGCTAGAGAAATGGTGAACTGGATTATTTCCACAGATGCAGTTTTATGGGAATTTCATTAATCTCATCCACCGGTAGAACTCTCTCCGAAGCAGTCTCTTTAGATACATTTCTTAGAGGTGATCACACTTACAACTTATCATGCACAAAACAGCATTTGTTTATCTAACAAGATAAATAGGCACAAAACAGCAACTGTTGCTCCGTACTTTGGATTTTTTTTTTTTTTTTTTAATCATTTTATGCAGACTTCAAAGTACTTTTTTGGGAATCATGTTATGCAGGATTGAAAGTACAAGTTAAAGGTAAAAAGATGTGCATACGAGGTGCTTTCCCAAGATAAATTGCTTGGCTACTTGCAAGGAATTACATATCAATACATAAAAAAGAAGTCAAAGAATCAGCAACCCTATAAAACCACTTGGGTAAAACAGATTTAAGTGGTCAAAATGAAGGTAAAAAGATTGTTAATGAATAAGAAATAAGTACATTCGAAAGCACATAGAACACATGCAACTTTAATTATAAGGCTGGAAAACAGCCGATAAATTATGAGCATGTAAAACTAAACAGTTAAGAGAGTGTTGGTAAAGCCAAATAGAACATAAACAGCAGTGTATTAAAAGAAAGAAAGCAAATCAAGTCGATGATTAAAATTTACTAAAAGAGAAAAATATGCGCTTTTGCCACATGGGCACATCAAATGATAACCTCAAGACTGTTGAAGATGTAATCATATTCTTGCTCATAGCATGATTTTCAAAACATGTATGAACTAATTCCCACTAGCTAACTTGAATAATCAGCGTCAATTTACAACATTACACAAAAACAAATCGATCATAAATTTAAAAAATTTATAAAAATATAAGAATGATGCTGAGCTTGGAAAGCTCATAATAAAGGGCAAAATTAAGACAGAATGGCATACCCAAGAATCTCTATCATCCGCTGGAGGAGATCAAACTCTGATGCTCCAGCGAATAAAGGTAAACCCAAGAATAATTCAGCCACAATACATCCAAATGACCACATATCAATTGCAGCCGTATATCTGAGGAAAGTTAAGCACAAAAGTACGAGCCATACAAGCATTGGAACAACTTCCAAGAACATGTAACTAAACAATAACAAGCATTGAAAAAGAAAAAGAATTCATTATTTTCAAGAAGAGAATATGAGCACATACAACTATATAATATTATCTGACCCAGAAGCATGGCAAATATCAAGTACACGCTCTGAAGTATTACCTACCAAGGCACTTTAACTCATTGACCAAAGAAATAAACACAGCCAACGCAAGCAACGAATTCTTTCAATATCATTTAGCAGATGCAACTTCAACTTACAAAAGAGGATACGGATAACCTAGAAGAACTTCGGGGGATCTATAGTAACGGCTCTGCAAGAAATGTATTGAAATTGTCAACTAAGTGATTTCAACAAAAAAACACGGTATATAAAATACTCAGAAAAGTAAAATCCCTTCAATCCGTGTCATTGAAGAAAAATAAGAACCTGAATATATGAGTAAACAGTTCGGCCTTCCAAGCAAGCAGACCCAAAATCAATTACTTTTATATCTGACCCAGCACTGCCAAGATGAAGTTCCAAAATTTAAGGTTGAACTAATAAAAGAAATCGCAAGATATTCAAGCTTCAGTATCAAACTGCTGACCTTGAGGCAACAAGTATATTTTCTGGCTTCAGATCACAATGTATAATGCCAGCATCCTTTATCACCACCAATGCATGGAGGATCTATTAAAATAATAAATAGAAAAAATAAGGGAAGATCATATTAGATGCAAACAACAACAATAATAAACAACAACATCAAATATTTATCCCACTACATGGGTCGGCCACATGAATCTTTTTTTCTCCATTGTGCCCTATTAAAATTTAAATTCTCATTTAAATCTAATTAAAAAAAATATGATTTTTAATATTTTTAACCAAGACTTTTTAAATCTACATTTACCTGTCTTAATGCACCTACTATCCTAACTAGTTCATCAGAAGATCATATCAGATGCAAAAAAAGAAAAAAATGTGAAATAACTTCAACAAACCTGCATTGAAAACCGCCGGACAATGTTCAGCGGAAATCCTCTGAATTGGTTCATTTTAATCAGTTCATAGCTGGAAAGGGCAGCATAAAGAAGATGCAATTGAAAGATCAGATAAGACTCTCCATGAAAAAAAGCAAGAAAGAATTACATTCAACAATAGCAGACTCACAGATTTGCGCCAAGCAACTCAAAAGATATGCACAGATGATGCTGATAAACAAAATAATCAAGGATGCGTACAATGTGACGACGCTCATCAGTATTAAATTTTTGATTTAGCTGCAAAATATTTAAAGGAGATCCAAAGTTAAAAGGGTAATCTTTTTTTGACAAAGTGTCTGCAATCTAATTCCTCTGCCACATTTTTCCTCACCATTGACAAAATAGAAACCTCAGCAAGCGCCTGCTGATAATAAGCAGGTTGATTTTTAATAATCTTAACAGCAACATAATTATCAGTTTCAGGAACCCAACACTTCGCAACTTGTCCAAATGTACCCTGACCAAGAAGATCTTTGACAATGTACCTGCACCATTATTCTTTTGAAGATTATCCATCACATGCAAATAAAAAAAGCTTGTTTGGCACACTTTATCCACTATTGTAAGCCAAAAGAGTTCTCTAAAATGAAACATTAACATGAAAGAAATGACAATTCTACAAGAAGATTTCAAGTAAACAATTCATAGAAGCTCCATGAATCCTATTTAAAAAAAAAACAAATTACAGCAGGCATAAAATTAAGAAAGAGAGAGTTTATGCCTTAGAGCATAGAGTTAATTTGATGAGGACATCGACAGACGCTACCGACATGTTTATCGCCGGCGAAACCGCAGATCGACGGCCATGATTCAGCGCCTCTACTTTTGATTTAGATGTCATGAAGTATTTTATTATTATCTTATTTTATTTGCAGTCTTTCCATTTTTACCCCTGTGGGGAGTTACTTTGTTATTGTAGCCCAGAGGGCAATTTCGTATTTTCTTTTTGTATGAGTTGAGACCTATATATAGTGGTCTCATGTATTGTTTTGAGCTTAATAAATATTATGAATGAAAATTTGGTTTAGTTATCTTGTCTTCTTCTTCTTCTTGTGGAGAGCTAGAGAGGAGAACGAGAGCCCAAGGTGAGGGCGAAACGCAATACCCACCAGTCATTGAAAGAGTCCGTGACTCATGGCCTATCCCCATCATCTGATTCCCTTCCTTTTCCCCAACCCGCCGGCCCTAGCCTCCCTCTTGACCGCCGGCCGGCCACCATGGATGGGCCCTCATTCATGCCACCAATTAAGGCATTGATTACCCCATTAATTTGAAATCAATTTCAAATTAATCCTTGATGCATTTAGATTTTTTTTGCATTATTTTTGTTATGAACAATATTAGTTATATTTTATATTTTTTTTTATGCTCATCTCGAATGATGGTGGTAAATCCAATGTATCATGGTAGGAAGAGGTTTGGATTTTTGCTTCCTTGGGTTTGCCGCTTGGGGGTCCATTTTGTCCTTTGGATGTTTGGCTGTTCATGAGGGCATTGGCTGTTTTCGGTTTGAGCTTAAGTAGTTGAAACTCTTGTGGTGCCAGCTCATTAATATCTAGTGGAGGAGTAGCTAGATGAGCTGAATGTTTAGCTGCTAAATTCATTATGAGGTGCAAGCTATAAGGTGAGTGGAACTTGTCTTTTCCTCTTCTTCTTTACCTCTTGAGCTGCTGCCTTTTTCCTTCATTTATTTGCTGGATTGTTGTGGCCTTTATACCCCTTTTAAATGCTGCACCGTGGCTTTCCCTTGAATCTACTAGACGTTTGGGGTTTCTCTGTGCTGATGCCGTGGCCTTTTTCCATTAAATGATGCTGGTATTCCGTGGCTTTTCTTGATATTGGCTCTACCGTTTAGAATTCTCTGTTGTTGATATTACCGTGGCTTATATGGTTTGCTGCTGTTGGTTTTCCTATGCTGGAAACCGAAAGTCTGCCCTGAGTCCTGTGCTGGATATTTATGGCTGTTTGGGCTGTTTAGTTACCCTCTTTTGCCTATATATATGAGATGTTTAAGAAGGAATGGCTGGTGAATATTTGAGAGCAAGTTGCTATAACCTGCGGTTCTTCTTGAAAAGCTTGAGAGCTTTGTCCACCTTCTTCCCCCTCTGGAAAGCTTGCGAGCTTCTCCTCTTTCGTCTCGGCTTCTAACCTCTTTCTTCTCTACGCAAGTTCCACTCCACCTGTATCTTTCTTCTAGTTCCGTTGGTGAAGTTGTTGGCTGTTTGGTGAAGTTGTTGGCTGTTTTGGTGAAGTTGAGTGTGTGTTGGGAAGTTGTGGCGTATTGGTGGCATTTGCTGGAGAAGTTTGAAAGGACATTGGAAACCCCTTAGCTGTGGTGGACCTTGGTTTGCATATATACCTTATTTTAAAATATATTCCTACAATCGGTGCATGTGAGGAGTCCTCTTGTAGGATGTTCTAGGATAGCCTTTTTTAAAAAATATTGTTTCTTTGTTAGTTTTCTTTTGTTTTAGTCGTTGAAAGTTGCCTCTTTCCTATTCTGAAGTTAGTTGTTTTCTCTAACCTATTTTGTTCTCTAAGTAATGTCTTAAATTTATAAAAGTAAGATTTGATTCTCTTTGTTGTTCTCTCTTTGTGTTTGCTTAATTTGCTTACATCAATCCTCCGCTAATTTCGTTCAAAACCTGAATTAATTTCAGATTTTTGAAATCACCTCTCCCTCTCTCTCTCTTGAGCCGCCGCCTCCTCTTTAATGAGCCACATTAATGCCCATTAATTGCCCCTTAATTCTATTGATAATTTGAAATCAATTTCAAATTTGCTTCCCTCTAATTTACTCAATTTCTGAAATTAATTTCAGATTTGTGTAACTCTCCTCTGCCCTCTCCTAACCCAATTTTCCTCATCCCATCCACCCGCCCCTCTCCTCTCTGTTTTGGCCGACCACCTCTCACTCCCTCTCTTGGAAATTACAGCAAGAAGAGGAAAGACGACACCTCTCTCTCCGATTCTCTTCAATGTTGAATGGCGGATCCCGAGTTTGAATGGGGTCTTGTGTTCAACGCCGACGGAAGCATCAACATCTTAAAATCTCCGTGCTTTGACGTAGGATTTGAAGACGACGCCACAGTTGAAGAATACTTGGATCGAGTCATCCTGATTCTTGTGAGCATCATCGACCGACGGTTCTCAAGCTACGATTGGAGCCTCTAAGCCACCCCTACATCCATCCCGCCGGCTACCTCTCCACCAACAAAGTTCTTCGGCGCCATCTTTGTAGTGGTAATATCTCTCATTATTTGGCTCTTCTTTCTCCGCTAAAAGCCTACTAATAAGTGAGTGAGACGTCCTCGTGGTGAAATTCTCATTGTTAAATGTTGGACTTTTGTTAATTGTACTTTGCATTTAAATCTCCTGGAACTTTGAAAGAATTGTCTTGGTTAATTTCAATTGCATTTCTTTGGACCTAATAAAGTTAAAATTTTCAAATTCCTAACTCACTTTTATGTGCTAGCGTTAAATTTAAAGGAGCAAAACTTTCATCTTTTCTCTCTCTAATTTCTTGAAGTAACTCCTAGTGGTTTTCACATCATTTGTATTTCACATCATAATTATATTTAGTAATGTATCAAAAAGAGATTAAGTGCAACTAGATTGTAATGGTTGATCTAAAAAAACTACAAAACTGAGGAGCTTAGTACAATATGTACAAAACCAAATGTTCTAATATGTTCTACTCTTTTGATTATTTTGTCCTCGCCTCTAACTTTGAGGTAAAGAGCATAGCTTGAGGCTTTTAAGGTGTGTAGACCAAAACTTTTTGTCAAGAAACACAAAAAAATGCATGCGACCAAGCACTAACATGAACATCATACTTTTAAATGAATATCTAAGAAATAAAGAAGATGCATTTGGGAGAATACATTCATCCATTGTCAATGAGGCATACCACCTAGGGGATTGAAAAAACAAAAACAATCATGTGCCTTATTCTGAATAAAATGTGCCTCTTTTGTCCACTTACTACATCTTATATAGTAAAATAAAAATTAAATTTTTTTATAATTTTATGTATGTTTTTGGATGCGGACTTTTCAAAAACTTTGTAAATATTGATGACTACTTCAGCGCAATCAGTTTTCATGCATTAAAGTGTGGCCTTTACTTCCACCTTTATGATTTCAATATTTTTTTTTCTGTTAACTTATTTAGTGATTAATATGTGTATATGCTTTAAGTTTGTCAAGTTCGATGCATTTTGGATACAATTTTTGTAGTGTGAACATGATCATTGCTTAATTTTATATTTGCTCACAATTTTCTTACGAGATTTCAAATTTTGGCAACTACAACATTATTATTGGAATAAAATAGGCGTTTGCTATTTTTGTGTTAAAGATGACTGATTTTTGCTAAAGTTGAAAATTGATTGGCTAATTATGCATTTTTGTGAGTTTCATTATGCACCATCCTAGGTTGCATTTGCACAAGATCCTAAGGTCCCCTAAATCACCCTCTTTCTAATTGAACATTCTTTGAGTATAAGAGACTTTCTACCTACTTACCGTGCAATGAAATACAAAAGAAATGTTGGTTCAAAATGTTAGTTGTACATTTCCTCATATCAAACATTCATATGGTGGGCTATCCAATAATTTTGTAATGCGTTGAAGTATGATTATCATGGTTATAGAGGAGATTAAGTGCAAGTCCTTTGATGTTAACTTTTGTCATCAACTTGATAAAATATTTCCTAGCAAACTACGTAAGGGTGTTTCATATCTTTTTTTATGGATGGGAATATACTTTCCCATGCCAATGATGTGATAAGATACATGTTTTGATCATAGGATAATGACATGAGGTCCTTTCCGGTGAAAAACCAATGTTTGTTGTAATTAAAAACTACACTATTCATTGTATGCATACATTCTCTTTGTATCCCATTTTGAGATTAAATCTTTTCCATGCTACTATAGTGATGTGAAACCAACAGGAATTGCATTAGAGATTATAAAGAGATTGATTTAAGCTTTGCAATATAAACTAATGTTTCACAATATTAGATGCTTAGACTTAAGGCCATCAATAATGCAAAGGCAATCGATTACAAGATAGAATAACAATCACTTGAAAATGATCTCAATCATAAAGATAAACTTAAATATTGTAAACAAGTGATCTCACACTTAACAATTAGAAAAGTCACCTTGAGTTTCCCTCACTCAAGCTCGTCTAGTAAGGGTTAGCGGGAAAGAACCTTAGCAAACCAAGTGATGCCACCAAAGTTGAGAAGACACCTAGAGTAGTAGCCCAACAAAATTTCGCCAAAGAGGGAGAAGACGTGGGTGGGTACCAAATATTCCGCCAACTTCCGGATGGTAGATGCACTTCAATTGATGACGCCAACTTGAATAAGGTGTGATTGATGTGATCTTCTACGGAGTTGTCCACTTATGGATCGAAGTCGAAGAGGATGGATTGATGAATATTCACTAAACTTTGATTGTCGTAGAGGAATCCACAATCACGATCCGGATCGGCCATGCACTAATCAAAGGGATTGTCGATGGAGGGAGGCCTTCTTCTTTCTTGGAGTGGAGCTTCATGAGGCAAGAGGGTTTCCAAGAGGTGGGAAGGAAGAAGGGACGGCTAAGGGAAGAAGAGCTTGTTTTTGGTGGATTAGGATTTGGGTTTGGAGAGGGGAAATAATACAAAATCCAAAATTAGTTTCAGATTTTAATAAAATAGGAAAATGGGTTTAAGAATTTCAAATTTGAAGATCAAATTCAAGTGGAGGGAGATTAATGAGGAGAGAGGAGGAAGATCCCATGGAGGGGCCGGCGGCATGCATGGGATTGGGAGGGATTTGAATCTTCAATTTAAAATTCAAATTAATTCCAATAAGGGTGGCTTGATTGGGCGGCAGCCAATGAGGGTTTAATGGGGATTTAATGAGGGTCTAGGTGGCAAAATTGGAGAGAGAAAGGGCTAGAGAGGGGGGCCGGCCACATGAGGAGAAATTTGAGATGTTTGCATTTAATATGTGGGCCCGGAAAGGATTTAATTGAGGATTGCCATTAAATCTGAAATTGATTTCAAATTTTAATGGATTTATGATGTCTCTTAATATACGTTATTAATAGGGAAAGTTTTAGAATACAAATTTGAATTTGAATCTAAATGAAACAACTTTTCAAATTAATGAAGACGCAATTAAGGAAAGTAATTATGGACGACTTTGAAATTTTAAATTCAAAATCCTTGGGTGGTGGGTTGATGGCCGGCGGCTTGTAGGGCTTGGGGAGGCCGGTGGTGAGGGGTTGGGTGGGGTTGGTGGTGGACAGGTGAGCGGAGGCCGGCGGCACAAGGGTGAGGTGTTGGGTGGGAGGAAAGGGGATGGGTGGTTTGGAAGGCCGGCGAGTAGGGGCTAGTAGGGGAGATGAAAGTAGAACGAAATTAGAAAAGAAAAGAATGGAGCTGCGAACCTTGGAATCTACCGAAGGTTGATGGGTATTACTCTCACGCACATAGGGTCTCTCCTCTCATGAACTCACTTAGAAATCAAGCAAAAAAAATAAAATTTCATTCAATATTTATCATCTCCTCTCATACAAGATGAGAACCTTATATATAGGCCTCCAAACAATTAGAAAAGAAAGACAAGAATTCCCTCGGGGCCACAACTCAAACACAAATAGATAAAGGGTACAATCGTCACAACTAATGAAAGAAACACAAATATAAAATAAAAATAAAGACTTCTAATCAAGGTTGTCGCTCTGCGCTGCTTCCGATGATAGACATTCTGGAATCTCCCACTGATGTCCTCATCATTCTCCCCAGGTGGGAGATTACTCAACCCTGTCGAGTAAGCATCAAGAGTGCTCTCTTATAGCTCTAGGAGGTCAAGAACCAATCTCTGAAGCTCAACACGATCAATCTACATATTATGGGTCTTTGGTTTCCCTTTCCATTGAACTAAGTACCTTCAATGCTCCCCATCTTTGGTGAATTTGATTTCATCGCTAAGTATTGCTTCGATCTTTTCAGCATTGGGTGAGGTGGATATATTTGGGAGTTAGGGTAGGCTGAGGTTCTCACCAGATATGGACTCACAAGGCTTATGATTTAGTGGATTAGTGGGTTAAACTCTGGTCCCTCAAAGGTTACAAGATCTTCGATGTTAAATGCATGATTAATGTTAAGACCTTCAGAAAGATCTAATATATAAGCATTATCGTTTATTTTTTATATTATCTTAAAAAGGTCATGCGCTTCTAGCATGTAACTTCTTAACGACCCTTGTGGGAATCGCTCCGGATGGACCCGAACCATTACAAAATCTCCAACCTTAAATTCCTTGAATCCTCTCTTAAGATCCGCATTGAGTTCATAATTAGCATTACTTTGTTCAATTTTTTTATAAATTTCTTTATGCAATTGATGTAGGTGAGATGCAAATGCTGATGCGACAGACCCGATATGCATGATGAATGACAAAACTTATGGGCATACACCAAAGCTTTAAAAAAAGACAAACTTGACAGAAAATAGACATACAAACATACAGACTCACAAGCACACATAGATAGGGATAATGATGGGTCAGTCACAAAATGAGGGGATATAAAATGTTCAGATCTAAGGAAACTTGTGTAGGAGCAATGAAGACGTCCTTAACTATAAGGGCATTTCTATAGGAAGTTTCAGCTAGGGTCGTAGATAGTCTCCTAGGGGCAGCAGTGTAATCTGACAAATTCATCCAACTAGGAGAGAGATGGTCCTTAATAGGGTAGGACAAAAATATAGCGGGCAAAATGAATGAATCAGGAACAAGATAAAATGATGGGTCCTGACTCACATCCATAAGGGGATAGCCCAAAGAGTTACCAGTAGGTATGAAACTCAAAAGATGGAGTAGAGTGTTTACAACAGAAGTGGGCACAACAGTCAGAGAGATGTCATGAGAGTATGGGAAAATACTCTCTAGCATTAATGTCGGTACAAAGAATGGAGAGGTAAGTCCAATCAAGAAAGACACACTCGTTCAATTGTAAATCTAGATGAGAAACTCCTAAAATAGACTCTAATAAAACAAGAGGCTCATTAGTCAAATTAGGCTCAGAAACTTTCAGACTCAAATTACTATTTTTCCGAACTCATATTACTATCCTCAATAGAATCAAATTTGGTTATAACCCTAAGATTAATGGATTTGGGGTCAATTAAATCGGGGTTTAATTCAAGTAATAAATTCAATTGACTCACTTCCAACTTGAGATTATCCACATCGCCATCAGAATTATTCGGAGTTATCTCGGTAGGAGATATGATAAAATCAGAATCTTCCAAATTTAATTTCAATGTGTTCAAGGTCAGATCAGTTTCTTTCGAGATCAACTTAATATCATCTATGCAAATCTTATCCAAAGGGATACCCATGAGGAGATTAGGATCAGGAAGGGCTAAGGTATCAAGGTTAAAGGTTCTAAATCTCCTAACTCAGGATTTAAGTTATGTAGGGAGTCTAAATCAATCAGTTCAGTTTCATCCTCAAAGAAATCCTCGTTCTCAATAATATCCTTAGTATCCACGAAATGGATGTACTTAGTTTCGGGTTCAGGGGACTTTTTCTTTGTAATGCATTTTTTGGTTAAAATGACACTGGTAGGGTCAAGGACTAGGGAGGCCAAAGGTTAGGTAGCCTCAGAATTCTCTTTGAATTGAAAGGTGTATGTGATTTGGATGTTGGTAGTAGCGGGCCTGGTGGTTTAAGTGATAGGTGTGAAAGGAGTGATAATGAACAAATAATACCCCTTGTGATGGCCATAGTTTTCATGTCATGCCTAGGTAGCCCTCACTATGATATAGAGGTCATAGTTCGAATCACAAAAATAATCTACTTGCAAAACAAGAATGTGGACAGCAAACTCAGCCATATCAAGCTTAGAATCATAGAAATAATCTATTTGCAATACAAGAACGTGTACAGCAACCTCAGCCATATCAAGCTTAGGCAAAAAGCTATCTGCACTAGGTATGTCCTTTTTAATCAGATATGTACTTTTTTACCATATAAAGTAACTACAAATGCACTTCATTTCTTTTTATATGAGAAAATATTTTGCCAAAAATCATATATTATTAATTAATCACAAAGGTTTCGACTTCAAAGTTATATTCTGTATATTCTGCACTGCAACGGCCATATTTTTCATACTTCGTTTTAACTAAGGATAATGAGAACATACTGAAAATGGGGGAAGACAAGACAAGTCAAAAAGCAATTGATCAAATCATCAATAATGGTATTGGAAAGAATAAGTTTTAATATCAGGAATGTACGAGAGACTACATATTCAAGATCAGTTACTAGGAACTAACTAACACTATTTAAATATTCAAATGACCGGTTCAAGAATACAAACCTTTGTTTTGACCCCGCATTGATCAAAATATAGTTCACATACAAAATTAGATCATTGTCCTCGTTATCAAAACCATCATTCAATACCCCAGCTGATGGATTGGTAAGGAAGCGCTTGGGGTTCAATATTTCTGAAAATTTAAAATCTGGGTTACATATTTGGAAAGTTTCTGCTATTTCTTTGGTTAGTCTTGCCACAAACTGCAGAGACAAAATGGTTGATTAGCTCTTGCAAATAAAAATATTCAAATGACTAAAGAAATCAAAATGCATTCAAAATTCCAGCATAAGGATTATTATTGTGATGCAAACTTGACCACACAACCTCCACGTTGCTTGCTAAACAATATAGACAACAATGAAATTCAAGGATGCATATTAGTAAATTGAAATAAGCATATGGCCAACAAAATAGTATGCTAAAAGTATCAAAAGCATATGGTCAACTTTGTCTTCTCTAATTAACCTTCTGAAGATAAAAGTTTCATTGTCTGCTCCTAATGTCATTTTTTGGACAAATTTGATACTGCTAGTTGATTGGATGGCATTTCAAAAGGCTATAGCAAACAATTATCTCCATCCTCTACAACGTTCCATATAGATTATACCCTTTCATTTTAAGCAGGTTTGCATGTTGCTGTGTTTCCCTTGAGAGCAAGATCATGAAAATATTTACAATAGGTGAAGTAACTATAGGACTAAGAAACCAAGCACAAGAGCAGAACAATTGACATTGCACAACATAGCAAGTATACAGGACCATGGGAGTATTTCTAGCCTTAATAACTTGTCAAGCCAAACATCCTTTCAAAAAGGAGATAAAGTTGCATCATACATATAAAGAGGGGGGGGGGGGGGGGGGCCTTAATAACTTGTCAAGCCAAACATCCTTTCAAAAAGGAGATAAAGTTGCATCATACATATAAAGAGGGGGGGGGGGAGCGGCAAATAACATCAAAACTTCCCCAAATAGGTTTTGGTGAGTAAAAGGATATAATTGTTGAAGCTGTTGAAAGAGTAGCACTAAAAAGATAAAATTAACTACCAACTGCTTTAAACAAACTCAGGTTAAGTAAGTAGAGAACTTACCTTCTAACAGAGAATACATGTGCATGCTCAAAAAGTGCTTGATATTGAAATTCTAAATATTTGAAGTCCATTTCCATTGAGGCCCAATCAAACACAATATGACTATTGCTTTCAATTAACTACGAATCACAGGCCAAAATTGAAAAGGATTACATAAAAAACAACATTGAATTTACATTTATTTGTATTGATTATGGAAATGCTTATAAAGGATGGTTTAAATGAGGTGCTTTCCTGTATGCTTAGCAAATGAAATAATTTTATTGAGAGAGACATCTCTTGAAATAATTGAAAATTCATAATAATGGAGAAATTCGTTAGAGGACAAGAAGCTTAGATAAAAACAACATTGAATTTACATTTATTTGTATTGATTATGGAAATGCTTATAAAGGATGGTTTAAATTAATGAGGTGCTTTCGTGTATGTTTAGCAAATGAAATAATTTTAATGAGTGAGACATCTCTTGAAATAATTGAAAATTCATAATAATGGAGAAATTCTTTAGAAGACAAGAGGCTTAGAGTTATTAGAACAAAAATGACTCTATGATACGTAATTTAGTGGGAGTGACATTAAAATTTATCAATCAATATGAGAAAATAAAATAAAATGATATATATGTGTGAAAGGTTGTACCTTCTATCTATCATACATAAAAATGAGAATATAATTTCTATAGTTTAAGCTAGATGATTAAAATTGAGAAGTACTTCACAAGTATTATGTGCTAAGAGGATATTATAAAAATTTAAAGATAAAGTTTATACAATTAGAGCATTTATGTTGTATGCATTTGATAGATAGAAGGTACAACCTTTCACACATATATATCATTTTATTAAATGATAGCTAATATGTTAATGAAATATCATGTTGATTGTGGAGTCAGATAAGAATTGTAGTCATATTAATATAAATTTTATTTTTTATACATCAATAAATTAGGAACTTCAAATAATTTCAGGATAATGATAATGTATATATATATATATATATATATATATATATATACATATATCATATTATTTCAATGATCAAGAATACTACTAGACTGAGGCAAGAATCTTATCACAAAGAGGTGAATAAATCATTTTATTTCTTCTGCTCTTATGAGTTTAACAATCTCTCTCTTCCTCATATCCCTCAAGTTCAAGCATTTGACCAAAGCATGCCAAAGACCATAATCTACTTAGTCGAATGTCTAACAAAAAAAAGAAAATTTTCTCTCTTTCTATGTCATCTCTCTAAGCTATATATATGACACATCAGGGTTAATAACTTTTCAATTCTTAAATTAAAAAACAAGACTACAAAAGAGATTTATACAGCTAATGCATGCATGATGTGTTAGAATGAAGCTTAAATGTTATCCTTTCCTAAAATATATTTTATCATTAGATCCATTTTCTGTCTCCATTCCTTTTAAACACAATTTTCCAAAATATTTCTCTCTGACATTAACCTATATGGTTTTCTTATTTTCTGAATGCAAATGGCAATGTTCTCTCCTAGAGGGAGGTTTCATGGTGATGCGAAGCATTTTAGCTTAAATCATTCCTTAGACGTATATTATCTAGTTTGTTACAAGCTTGTTATAGGATTCTAGAACATTCTAGTTTTCTACCTAATTATTATATATAGTATGATGTAAGAAGAGTTGAGATCATTGATAAATATTATATGAATTGAAGCCTTTGAGCTTGGTTTATTATCTTGTTCTTAGAAATCCTTAAAAGCATCCTCTTCTTACAACGATCCAACTACATTAGTTTAGTATCAGAGCCTGAAGCTTGCGAAGAACGATGGACTGCAGAAGAAGGTGGCCTGTCGACGACAATCGAAGCCGAAGAAAATGTGCGGTTGATGAAGATCGACCACGAATAAGATGGGCGGTCGACGACGATCGACGCCGAAGGAGATGGGTGGTCGACGACAATCGATATGTGAAGCCTGAGACAAACATTATTACTTATAATGTCCTTCTGGATGGATATGTGAAGGATGAGCATATTGATGTTGCTACTTCTGAAAAGATGTCGCCCAATTTCTATAAATTCAACATATTTGTGTCAAGGCACTGCAAGTCCCGAAGAGATTGGAAAGGACTGGTTCAGAACTTGTTTAGAGATTCGTCAATGAGTAAGCTTGTGAGAATGTATCTAAGACGCAAGGTCTTCGACCCAGGAGGATCGATCATAATTTCTAAATCTATCTTTCTCCCGATGACGTGACTCGACGGAGTCAAGCCCTTTTGATGCAAGGGGAGAATGATGCGGAGCATTTTAACTTAAATCATTCTTTGCACGTACATTATCTAATTTGTTACAAGCTTGTTATAGGATTATAGAACTTTCTAGTTTTCTCTAGTTTTCAACCTAATTATTATATATAGTATGATGTAAGAAGATTTGAGATCATTGATGAATATTATATGAATTGAAGCCTTTGAGCTTGGTTTGCTATCTTGTTCTTGGAAATCCTTCAAGCATCCTCTTTTTCCAACGATCCAACTACATCGATTTGGTATCAGAGCCTGGAGCTTGCGAAGAACAATAGACTGCAGAAGAAGTTGGGCTGTCGACGACGATCGAAGTCGAAGAAAATGGGCAGTTGACAAAGATCGAAGTTGAAGGAGATGGGCGGTCGACGACAATCCTCCGCTCCAACTTCCACTCCAATGGCGAGATCCGTCGCCCCACTATCCTCCGCTTTAACTTCCGCTCAAATGGCGGAATCCCCTGCCCGACCATTTAGTCCACAATCAACACGCAGCCTTCGTCCGCGACTCGCCTCCGCTTCGACCCCATTCCATCACACCTGATTCCGCCACCGCAATGTCTCGCAACCAGGACCGCAATCCCGCTTCGTCTCGCAAGCAGACCAACATCCACAATTATATTCCTTCAACATCAGCTAGTTTCATTCCTCCGACATCAGCTAGCCCCATTCCTCTGACATTTTCCCATTGCCAGAATGTCACAGACCTAAAGCTCGATATCAATCAGATCCGCGATCCCCGATCCCCAACAACTCCAGCATGATTTGCCGCTTCCGCATCTGCAACACTCAACCTGCAATTCTCTACCCGACGAAACAACCGTTGATGCCACTCTGCCATCGCCGCTCGCTCCTAATCTGGTCATCCTGGCGTCGTCCTTTTGCTTCCCCAACAAGTCCATTCAACCGACCCCACTCTAGCGTGATCCCAAAGTTGCCGCTGAACCAGAAGAAGCAACCGCCGCTGCCACTCCGCATGACCACGGTCCGGCCCGCTCAGCTCCCACAATCCCATGCCCGACTCCGCACTTGAAACCACGGAGAAGCCCTTTTGTGAAGTCGGTGACGAGAAGAATCCTGCTTCCCTGAATTATCCTCCTCTGTACTCTAGTCCATGTTGCAAGTGCTCAGAAGGCCATCTAGATAATGATGAACTCAATACCCATCCAAGGAGTTCTTGCAATTCAGAAAAGTCAATGGCTATTGTTCATGAATGCAAGGTCTGCAATGATAGTGAAGAAGAAAAAAATTGCCTTGCAGCCACAGAGTTGAGACTTGCAGAAGATTGGCTGAAGAAAGTATTTCAAATTATGAACCATTTTGTTGATCGCGGTACAGCGGTAATTAAGGGGGAAATCTCATCTGCATTAAGATTTTTGGAATTCTAAGAGAAATTAGTTATGTGTGGTTGTGAAGATTATGCTTCAGGTGGTATTGGAGTCATTTCCATTACAGGTGTGCAAATCCTTAATGTGAAGTCAACTGACAAAGCTAATCCAACACCATGCTCACAAGTTGCTCGACGTAATGTCGCTGATGACTTCGGGCAGTTGGGTGTTGACGATTTCTTTGCTGAGATTGATTTAATATTTCAGGACAAACAATACAAGCAGCGATCCTTCTTAAAGTTCATGAGATAAGTTCAAAATGCTTACGCTGCTTAAATTTTGCATATAATAATAACTGCACATATAATGGTGTAATCAATGTACTTGAGGAAATGAAAGCACTTGGTGTGAAGCCAAATTCGATCACTTACAACAAGTTGGAGACCGTGGGAAGAGGTGGAAGGCCATGGCAAGTGAAGAACATTTAATAAGGAGATGGTTGGTAAAAACATATTACCAAATATGATTACTTATTATTCGCTAATCATAGCTTATTCCCAAGCTTGGTATGTCGTGGATGCCCTGACTATGTATAGGGAGATAAGGAGGAAGTCAATGGAGCTCAATGTGGTTCTACATAACATGCTTTTGTTTATGTGTGCGAACATTGAGTATATTGATGAAACTGTTGAGATTTTTTACGAGACAAAAGGGTTGCAAGATGTGTTAATTCTTGGATCATGCCTCAAAGAAATAGTTGCAACAAGGGAAGGGTTGGTTTGGTTGTTTCCAATGTACACCTTTGAGTTGGATGCTTACAGTTGTAATATTGTAATGAAAGCGCAATGTGCATTTGATCAAATCATAGAAGGTGAGCTTGAGACAAAAATTATTACTTATAATGTCCTTCTAGATAAATAGGTGAAGGCTGAGCAAATTGATGCTGCCACTTCTGAAGAGATGTCGCCCAATTTCTATACATTCAAGTGTCAAGGCACCGCAAGTCCTGTAGAGATGGAAAGGACTAGTTCATAACTTGTTTAGAGATTCATCAATGAATAAGCTTGTGAGCATGTATCTAAGAAGCAAGGTTTCGACCCAGGAGGATCGATCATAATTTCTACATCTATCATTCTCCCGATGGCATGCCTCGATGGAGTCGAGCCCTTTTGACGCAAGGGGATAATGATGCGGAACATTTTAGCTTAAATCATTCCTTGGACATATATTATCTAATTTGTTACAAGCTTGTTATAGGATTCTAGAACTTTCTAGTTTTCTCTAATTTTCTACCTAATTATTATATATAGTATGATGTAAGAAGAGTTGAGATCATTGATGAATATTATATGAATTGAAACCTTTGAGCTTGATTTGTTATCGTGCTCTTGGAAATCCTTCAAGCATTCTCTTCTTCCAACAATCCAACTACATCACATGGTAGTCATGTGAGAGAGGGAAGCTTACTTCGGGGAAACAACCAATTTGAGTGCTTTCCTTGCACGTGGACCAGGATCCAACTTTTCATCAACTCATCAGCATGAATCTCAAAATGCAATATATGCTATGGATCTTTGCAAATTCAAGGCACAGGAAAAAAATTCCATTCTTGCCCAAGGATTGATGTGGCGTATTAGTTATTATTTTTTATTGAATTGCCAACTAAATGTTGGCCAAACAATTGAGACTTGTGCCCATCAATTTTTGGTTTACGATAATAGGTCAAAAAAAGATTTGATTAGAAAATATTAGAAATGACATTTCTTTATTAGATTTAAATGATAATTTGATTCTTAACATGACACAATGGAGAAAAAGGATTAATGTAGCCAACCCCACGTAGTTGGATAAAGGCTTGATATTGTTGTTATTGTTGTTGTTGTTGTTGTTAAGGATAATAGGTCAAAAAAGATAATGAGAAGAAGATAATTACAAGTTGAAGGGCGTAAATTGCACGTGCAACATGAAAGGAGGGCTTTTTGAATAAGAATAATACAAATGAAAGAATATGGGGGATCCTGAAGTTTAATGACGTTTTCGTCTATATCTGTGTCATGAATAAACCATTTGTGCATGATGAAAAAGCAAGCACTCTAAAGGCCTTTTCAACCCTAAATAGCAACTAGAAAACCTATATACATATTATTGAAGAGCTTGAAATGCCCTTTTAGACAAGCACCTGTGAAAACATTTCAATATGCATAAATGAAGAATGGGGATTCATATTGCCGGAAACAATAGTTGAGTCTAGGCAGCTGATGGTGATAATTATATCAACAAAACACTATGTCTCAAACACATAGGACTTGGGAAGACTGCTGGTTCATTGCCAAAAGTCACTGCTTAATCCACCTCCCCATATCCCGTTGATCGATCCACAAAGGTTCAACCGAGAATTCATTTCAGTACATACACTTAACTTGCTACGCAGAGTACAACGAACATTTATAACGTTTTCAACTTGAGAAAGAAAAGCACACTCTGCAGCAATCAGCAAAACCTCTCCTTTTTTCTCTTTTCCATTGAAATAACTGCAATAATAGGTAAAATACATGGAATAATGTTTAGGCTGCTGGTATAGGAAACTTACAGGCCTCCTGACGGTCGCTCCAATATTGCCCAACTTAAAAGAAGACGTGGAATAAATACGGGAGACCTCATAAGAACGAAAAGCACTGATGAGAGGCGTCCAAGCAGAAGAAGCAGCAGAAGCATGCGCCCCTCCCGATTGGCCGCCACCAGATCCATCGTCCTTGCTTCCCCCATCCTCCTCCATGGCTCCGCACCGCCCAATCAGTGCATCCCCACCATCCGATCGCCGCCAAAGAAAGAGATCGAATACGAATGCGATGACTTTTTTTTCCTAATCGTGTTAATCCCCCAGTCCGGCACAATCGCCACTCGCAGCTCCGGTTCGATGGAGGGTCGCAATCCCACCTGAAGATTTCAATCCCATACTGTCATTAGGAGAGTTATTCGGCTCATAGCTGCACCACGCAGAATCTCGCCAGCGATGCGGAGCCCGCAATGCCTGAAATCGGCTATTCTAATGCAAACTTTAAAGCCTCCAGGAAGCGGAAGAGGGAGAGGGATTGTGATCCAGATAGGGACAGGTAAGGAATTAGGGTTCGATTCCTTGAAAAAGTTGAATAGAAGAAAGAGTCACAAAGGAGATGAACCAAGACGGATTTGAGGCCGTGCGTAAAATTATCCTGCCCGGTCCTGTTTCCTTCTCCGCCTCCGTTGGCTCCTGTCTTTCCTCCTCTTCGCCGATTTAGCGTGCGCATCGCGGACTAAACCATGGTTAACAACAGACTATCTACGTTCACCGATAAGTTGACCATGTCATTTGGCGGTCGGTCGCTTGGCACTTGCCGAGAAAACCGCGTGCATTCACGGTTTCAAACTTGGGTCATGTTTTGCGTGATCTTAGGTGTATTCCTCCCATACGCTTAGCTGATGATTAAGTAATGGCTGAGTAGAGTCGTTCAACGTAAAACTAAGGAGAGCTTTTTCTGTACAAAAGTTCGATGTAGAGTTTTGTCTGAATTATAAGTGTATATAATATATATGTACTATATATTTTTTATAAATAGTATGTACACATTGTGTTATACTCATAATTCGAGCATAATTATGTTTGGATTCTACACAGAATAATCTCTTCTTACTTTTACATAATGTACTTTTATAAACAATATGTATACATTGAATACACTAGCAATGCAGACATAGCTCTATATCTAGACTCCGCATTACATAATGTACTTTTATAAACGGTATGTATACATTGAATACACTAGCAATCCAGACATAACTCTATATCTAGACTCCGCATTACATAATGTACTTTTATAAACGGTATGTATACATTGAATACACTAGCAATCCAGACATAACTCTATATCTAGACTCCGCACGTAATAATTCCCCCAAACTAAGGGGCAATATACTCAAGTCCTAGCTGCATCCCAATTTATCACTACAATTTTGCTCGGGATTACTGGGGGTCAGGTTGAAAAATTCAATCTTTCAAATATATATTATGTGTGATTATAAAATTTATTTTTAAATATTTTTATTTATAATAAAATCTTCTCTCCCAATATTATGTGATAATAATCTTCATGATTTTTTTATGGAGATATTTACGACAACTAACGAACCAAAGACTTTTTGGTTGATAGCAAAAGCTCCCAACTAACAGACCAAGATGAGTGCGTGATTGAATGTACATGAAAATAAATTAACCGTAAATCTTTCTCATCGCCCTCAATTATAATTATTAGAAATTATTAAAAGCTAATAATCCTCTTAATTTTAGCCACTCATTATCTACTAAGTATATAATTATATATTTATTATGTCCTCCTATTTAGTTATCACGCAATGCGTGAATATTTGTTGAGTATTTGGACACTTTATATTTGGCTCCCATATTATATTATTTGCACATAATAATTTCTTCTCAATTTATCTATAATTCTTTTGACAAACAACAAGCCACTATAAGAATAATAAACATATAATTAGATGGAGTATCAATAAGACATGCTCAAAATTAATTATGCAGACTAAGTTAATTTTATCTTTTATAATTTTTATTCTATTTTCAATGTTGATCTCTTGTTGATCACAATTTTAATTCATTTATTTATTTATTTTATATTGGGTTTTCAATCTATGCATGCAAAAATACTTCTGATGATTGAGTTAATTTAAATTTTTGTGATTGTACATACCCACAAATATATGATAAGATGAAATCAACACACTTGAAGAATAATATTATATACAGAAAAAACTAAAAAAGGGAGAAATAATATAGCCTTGCCTAATTTATGTAATTATATCAGTGTTATATATTAAAGAATTATAAGAGGCTTTCCCTATAACAACAAAAAGCATTAGTATATGTTATGGACTTGAACCATGAAAACTGTCTTGTGTGATGGTAGCATGATAGGAGTCTTAAAGTATTGGAGTTCTTTCATACGATGGATGTTTGATGATAGTTAATAGCAAAGAACAAAAGTGAAGCAACAGATGCCAACCTCGACTTTGCTATTCTCATGGTAGGTAAGAAATTGTGTAATCATAAAAACAAGCATCAAGATTTAGTTGTTGGTGGATATCAAATGTGAGTTGTTTGTATGCATCACCCAATGATACCAAGTATAATGTAGCATTAATCGCCCATAAATCTCTTCACAAAGAGCTCCTCCAACTTTTGAAGGATTTGATAAAATCGTTGAGTAGTTTGGCATACCACTCAAGCATTGTCCTATTCATACTAATAATAAACGATCATAATAAGGATGTATCACTAGCCACCACAGTACAATAGACAATATGAAAGTTAGCTTTTAACAACTTAAAAAATATAAAATAAACTTGTTTTATTATATTGAAATTTAGTGGATTAAAAATATATTTGGAATTTTATTTTTCTTAAAAGATTGTGAGTTAAGGCAAAACTAGTTAAATAGATTTAAGAATATAAACAATTAAATTTCTTTTAGGTTCTTTTACAAGAATCCAAAATAAATATTATCATAATTTGAAAGTAAATTAGATATTTCTATGAAGTACATAGCCATCATCATCCACTAATACATCCATTAACCAGAGTAAAGAGAAATAAGCAAGTATTCAAAAATAATGGTGCTAGCAAATAAAAATAATAGAAAAGAGATGCAGATTGATTTATAGTGATTTAACTCTACCAACCTATATTCACTACTCAAGTTCTCTTCTTGAGAATTTAACTACCACTCCTTCTGCAACTTATAAGTCTAAGAAACATGCCATCCTAATAGGTAATTAAAAAATCCTATACTCGATCTCTTGTACTCCAAGCAAGAAGATTGCTATTTTAGCCCAACAATGAGCCAACCAAAGTAATAAAGAACCTTTTGAGATCTCAATTATCCCATACAATTATATTGTAAAATCTCTCAACAAACCACAAAAATCATTAGAGGATGAAAAATAATCATGTAGTAAACTCTTACAATGTGATCTCTCATTTTAGAATTTGCAAATCAAAAGTTAGAGAATCTATCCCAAAAGCAAACTCCTCTCTTCTTTTTTTCTAGTCGATCTCTCATTTTAGGGTTAATTAAAAGATATTTATATCAAGTGTCTTAAAATCAAACCCAAAATATGGATAAAAATTTTGAGGAGATTGTACAATACCATATACACATTATATAAATGATCAGTACAAACAAATTCTGATCATGCAAATTATGTTTTGGTTGATTATACCAATTGATTTGCATCATATTATATGATTAGTTAAGCCTAATGCGAATTAATTTGTCCCAATTAATTTTTGTTGCTTAGTTATATTAAATTAGAATATTAATTATATAGCACGATGTACATTGTATAGTAAAAGCAACTTAATTCTTAAATTAATATAATAAAAGAAAATATCATATGGCATATTTTAATTTGAATTTAATTTCAACCTTACAATACAATATACATTGTATAATATAATTAGTTATGTATATGCATGTGCTGGTTATTTTAACAATTTTTTTCTCTAAAACATATATATTCAACTCTAACAATATGAAAATATAACTCCAAATTTTAACTCATATATCTCTCAATTCAAAGTAACTATAGCTCACTTTAAAACTATGACCTAGTGAACATTGAGCTTGGTCTTTTCTTTTTTAGTTATAATCTTTATATGAGTCGTGTATATTTCATAATTATGCATAGTACACAGCTTGATTCTCTAATTTATACATGCAATTGTTAGTATTAAACACTGCATACTTATAATGACTCTTAAAAAAATTATTTATTTGGGTCAAAAATACGGACTATTACAATCTCCTCACTTTAGAAAATGTCACCCTCGACATTTTCATGCATAAAAATAATCAAACAAATTAATAAAACAACGTAAATTCTTCAAAACAAATCAATACAATTCAAAACTAAGAAATCCGTTTAAATTTGTTTGACATCAGCATTGATCATTAACTTATCATTCGTTGCATTCAACCAATCATGAATTTACTCAAGCAATCACACTTATGTATGTTATTCAATCACTCAGTATACCACATAATAATTTTCATTCAATTAATTCAAATGCAATTATGACTATAGGAATTAAAATTTTACTATAGTAGATCCTTTAGGTGCATTTCTGTCACTTTGTTGGATCAAATTGTAAATTTTAGGTCATATGGGTGATAGTGTTGGTGTAGCAGATCATAGACTGTGTAGGTCCTCTTTGACTTTCAACCACTCCCCTTCTATATGTTTTGCTCGCAGACCCTTCATTATCTATAGCCTTGCCTAGCTTGCTCCCCTCTGAATCTGGATCCTAACTCCTGTCATTGTAGTGGATAATTAGTCATCTGGTGTCCTCCATGTCCACATCTAAAACATTGTCTAGTCATTAAAAAATATGATCAACTATGTTTCTTAACATATTGAGTGCACTCCAATACACTCCCCACCCTGGACTCAGATGTAGTTCTTCTCATGTTGTATGAAAATATACCCTTCTTTTCACTACTCTCTCTTCTAGTTATGTCATCCCCCGATCTCTTCTTGCTAATATATTATCTAAAAAGTGAAATAGCCAAGTCATTATCTAATACTCTATAAAAATACCTACACCACTCACCATATGACCTATAAAAGAAATACTCTTCAACTAAAATTCACACTTATAAAATTTAGCATACAACTAATGCGCCTTTGAGTCTCTAAAAATGATCTTCAAATGCATAACATGATCCTCTTCATAAGAAAAAAAAATTAAAAAAGCATAAATTGATTTTGATACTCTCGGAATACCCTATTCATCAAATCAATAAAAAATATTGGTGCATTAGTCAACTCAAAGTATCATGTATCGAGTACTGAAAGCAGTCTTCATCACATCTACCTCTCTTAATTACCTTTACCTGATAATAGTCAGATCGCATATCAACCTTGGAAAATATAAAATCTTCATTAAGTCAATCATATAAATCATAAATCCTTAACAAAAGATACTTATTCTTGATAATAATTTTGTTTAGTTTTTTGTAATCAATGCACATATGCATCATACCATCCTATTTCTTCACAAATAAAAAAGGTGCTCACCACGGAGATAAACTAGGATAAATAAATTCCTTTTTTAATTAACTTTTGAAGCTGTGCTTTTAACTTTTGAAGCTTCTTAGGTGTCATCTTATATGAAGTATTAGATATTAGAGTTATATCTGAAAATATATCAATACATAACTCAATATCTCTATTCAGAGACATATTTAGTAACTTTTCAAGTAAGTTATCCGGGAACTCTTGCACTATTGGGACATTAAAAATAGATCCAAAACCTGTATTGTTGTCCCTAACCAATGCTAAAAATACCATAC